TGTTGAGCCTTCACCGAAGATGGCGCGAAAGGTCCTCTCGGAAGGCGCGAGGGCTTCTGAGAAGCCCCGCCGCCTTCTGAGAAGGCCTTCTCCTCCTCGTTTCCCCCCCTCGCTCGCCGCCGACAATGGGCTGGCATTTCTGGGCCTTCGCCCGGGCGCCACGTGGGCGCCCCACGTGCTGGCCAGCCTCCCTCTGGGCTCTCGCCCCAGTGTCCGCCCGTGGGCGCCCCGTGCGCTGGCTGGCGCTTCTGCGCTGAAGCCTGGCGCCCGCCCAGGAGCCCCCTATGGGATTCCCATGGGAGTCCCATGGGATTCCCATGGGATTCCCATCGGATTCCCGTCAGATTCCCGTCGGATTCCCGCAGGACTCCCATCGGATTCCCATAGGAGCCCCGTAGGATTCCCGTAGGATTCCCGTATGATTCACCCTCGTGGCCGCCCCGCACGCTTGCTGGCATTTCTGGACTCTCACCCGGGGCTGTCAGCGGGCCTCGTGGGCTCCTGGTGCGCTGGCTCGGGCTACAGCATCGGCGGCGAGCGAGGGGGGGAAGTGAGGAGGAGAAGGCCTTCTCAGAAGGCGGCGGGCCTTCTCAGAAGCCTTCGCGCCTTCTGAGATTTGTTTCTCCAAATAAGGTTGCCCTATAGGAGTCCTCGCTCAAACCCTACTAATTGGTCCGTTGCCCCCCTTATTCCTATGGCTATGGCTATGCCTATGCCTACTGCGCCGCTCCGAAAGTTTTCTCAATTTCGCCACCGTGCTCGCCTGGGCCATCTGGGATTGCGCGCGCAGGATGAGATTCGCGGGGTCCGAGGGCGGACGGGGGCGATGTCGCGAGGGCAGAGTCGGCGCGCGGATGGGCAGGCCGGCACTCAGTTTGGCCGGAGGGGCCCAGTACAATGCAAGGGCAGAGCGCAACCCTTGCCCGGGGTCACGGGATCGGGTTCCCTTTCGGAAATTAAAATTTTAAATCCCAAACGGTGTACGGACCCGAAAAATGAGCAAACGGCATAGGACTTCCTCGAAAAAAGCTTTCGGGTTCGGTCATGCGACGACCCGAAAGTTTTATCGACCTATCTGAAAGTGGCCAAATCAATAGGACTTCTGCCAAAACAAAATGTCGGGTCTAGTTCGAACGACCCGAAAATGTGCGAACCGCCTAGGACTTTTCGAAAAAAAACATCGATCTCGACGTCTTCGGGTCCACTCCGTAGAAACCGAACATGGGCAAACCGCCTAGAACATCCGATGGCAAACGGTTTCTCGATGGTTCCGGATCTCGTCCGAAGGAGCCGCCGATGGGCCGACCGTGCAGGACTTCCTGCGCAAGAAACGACTTCTCAATGAGCCACTGTCAAACGGGAACGCGCCGCTCGCGGGATTGGGGTTCGCACGGCGGCGCGGTTGTTCGCGCCTGTCCAGGAGGCGCGCGTTCCCGCGCCCTTCCAGCATCGCGTTTGCTCTGTATTCGCGCGGCGCCGTTTTTCGCAAATCGGAATAAACTTTCGGAGGGCCGATGTATCCCCCTTTTCCAATAACACCCCCCTTCTGTATGCTTGCTTGCTTGCTTGCTTGCGCACTTGCGCGCTTGCTTGCTTGCTTGCTTGCGCGCTTGCTTGCACGCTTGCGCGCTTGCTGAGTTGCGGATTCTAAGCGTGCTCGAGTCCTCTGGTTCCTTGATTTGAGTCGTCTAATATATTTGGAGTCAACGCTGGCTGATCTATGTTGTGTCTTCGGGTAAGGTTCAGAAAACTTTTCGGAAGGCCCGGGGGACTTCTGAGCCTTCTTCTGAAAAGGCCCGCCCCTTCTCACTTCCCCCCCCGGCGCGTCGCCTGCAATTGTCTAGACAAAAGTATACATCACTTAGTGCAAGCACTGCTTGGGGGAATGACACAATGTTTTTTCTTCATGTTGGGCGCTTGGGAGCAGCTTTCGATATCCAGGACATTCAGCACTATCCTGCGAAGTACCCGACCAATCTGCGTCTAGTGACAGAGTGGTTGGTTGGACCAAATTAGCATGGTCGGCGAAAGTGCGCGAGTTTCAATGTGTTGTGCAAGCTACATCAGATGCGCACGCGTTTGCACGCCTCGCAGGACAGCAACAGAAGGAAAAGGGGGGAAGGCTCCAATGACGAAGAGGACGGGGGCGGGAAAGAAGGGCACGAAAAGGACGGAAGGGGGGGCGAAAAGCTAACGCAGCAGCAGCAGGGATATCGTGGAAGGGAGAAGAAACCGACGACGAAAGAGGCGGGAGAAGAAAGGATAGTGTTGTTTTCTCCAGCTGAACGCTGGGCAAGCAACGATGCCAGCGCCACGCCGCTCTAGCGGTCCAAAGGATCAGCTTGTCATAATTAGTGCAATCAGCGAGCGAGGTCGAGCTCGCCCGCAAGCTTCTCCGCTTCCTTCCTGCACCTTTCAGTGCGGGAGCTAAATGGCAGCGGGCGTGCCGACAGGACTGCGGGCTGCCCGTGGGAACCGATTCTTTAGGCCTGGGTCGCGTATCATCAGCAGGTTGGTCACCGTCGTCGCCCTGAATGGCACCACGTAAAGATGTAGCCAGAGGCCGTCCATGTCGTCCGCGTCCTTGCGCCTGGCGTCGACAATTGCTCCGTAGCGCATGGTCTGGCCCTGGCAGGCCGTGGACGTCAGGATCTCGGCGTGGGAGATGACCAGGCCGGCGCGTGTGACCGTATGGAAGTCGAGCGGGCTCGAGGTCTGCGGTTCGATGAAGACGAGGCCTGCCGCAGCCGAGGCGTCGATGCTGCCATCGAATTCCGTGGGCGTCTTACTGCAGGGGCCTGCTTTGCATTTGTCAATGCGCACCCGCACGCGGTGCGGCAGGTGCAGCAAGTACGCCGGACATTGTTCTCTTTCGATGTTTGCACCTCGTCCTCATCCTTCGGGTTGATGGCCACGTGCGCGACCTCGCCCTCAGCGTCCTTGACGAGCCTCATGTCGAGGTCCAGATGCTCCAACAGGCGAATGCCTCCGGCAGCCTTCGGAAATTGCGACAGTTTTGCAGTTCGCAGTCGTCCGTGAATGGCGAGGTGTAGCTAGATTGAACCCGCCTATGACGTCATTCCGCTGGGCCCCCCAGCAGCCCTCGAAACTGGGGACAGTTCCGCAGCGCGCAGCCCCCCCCAGGATGGCGAGGTCGCGTTATCATCCGCGTAACACTTCATGCCACTGGGCCCCCCAATTGCCCTCGAATGTGGCGACGGCTTCGCAGCCTGCAGCCCCACAGGGATGGCGAGGTCGAGACTGGGCCCGCGCAAGGCATCTTTACGCCGGGGTCACCAGCAGTTCTGAAAAATGGCGGGGGTTTCGCAAGTCGAAGACCACCAGGGTTGGCGAAGTCGAATTTGAATTCGCGTAAGCCGCCACCCCGCTGGACCCCCAAACGGTCTTCGAAATTGGCGACAGCTTCGCAGGTTGCATCCCCCCAGGGGTGGCGAGGTCGAGTATGAAGCCGCGTGAAACGTCATTCCGCAGGATCCCCCAGCGGCTGCCAGATGTTGCGACAGAGTCTGCGTGAAACGCCACTCCGGTGGAACCCCCATCAAAATTCGAAAATGGCGACAATGTGGCAAGTCGCAGCCCCCCATACATGGCGAGGTCGTGCTTGAATCCGTGAAAACCGTCAACCCGCCGGGCCGCCCAGCAGCACTTAATAATGGCGACAGTTCTGCAAGTCGCAAGCCCCCACTCATGACGAGGTCGAGTTTGAATTTGCGTAAAACGTCATTTCGCTGGACCCCCCAGTTGCTCTCGCAGGTCGCAGTCCCCCGGGGATGGCAAGGTCGAGCCTGAATCGACGTAAGACGTCACTCCGCTGGGCCCCCGAGCAGCCTTCAAAAGTAGCGACAGCTTCGCAGTTCGCAGGCCACCAGGGACGGCGAGGTCGAATCTGATCCTCGTAATGTCCCTCCGCTGGACCCCCAGGCGTTCCCCAAAGCAGCGACAGTTCCGCATTTCGCAAACCACCAGAGATGGCGAGGTCGAATTCGAATTGGCGAAAAACGTCGTTCTGCTGGACCACCCAGCAGCCCGCAAAAGTGGCGACAGTTTCGCAGATCGCGGCCCCCCAGAGGCCCCCTGGGCAGGACGGCGAGGTACTACGGCGAGGTAAGAGGCAGGATCACAGGCAGGTAGGGCGGGGGCGGGAAGGAAGGAGGTGCGACTGTAGTGCTCTATCCAAGACGCGAGCTCAACGCAGGAGGGTTGGGGACCACTCAGGATGAAAACGAGCCCTCGGGAAGTTGTCCAGAGGTCTGGGGGGCCTGTTTTGAAGAGGAGGGGGAGGAGGAGGAGGAGGAGGAGGAGGAGGAGGAGGAGGAGGAGGAGGAGGAGGAGGAGGAGGAGGAGGAGGAGGAGGAGGAGGCATGCATCAGAGGCTTGGATTCTCGCCACGGCCCAAAGGCGTCTCGAGGGGAAGGGCCCCCCAAGGTTTTTCACCGCCCTCGGCCTCCGGGGGCCCTGACCAGGGCCTCCGGACCGTCAAGAAACGGCCCAGGGCGCAGGATTACAGTGCGGTCTCGGCCTAAGCCTCTGGGGCAAGGACCCGATTCCTGCAGGGCTTGTTTTGTTTTTGTACATCCCTGAGATCCGACGTCGCGCAAGGTGCAACATCATGAGCAGTCACGACCAACAATTACGACCGGAGCCCGCGACCCCATCGTTATGCCGTCCTCCGCGAGCCGGATCGATCCGTAAATGCCCCATGACCCGAGGCAGAGCGGAAATTCCCGATCGGATGAAGAGTTGCAACGCCCCGGGTCTCGGGGATGCACCTCGGTATCGTTTAACAAATCCCCATCCCCGTCCGCATCCCCTTCGAGGCCCCCACCAAATTACCCCACCAGTTGGGGATACGTCTCTCGAAACCCGAAGGGAACGACCTATGCCCCCATCTAGGGGGTTAGATCGGCCAGTGGGGCCCAGGCCACGCCGCTGGGGATGGGGATCGGTGAAACGATGCTCGGCACCTCTTGCTCCGCGCCCTCCCTACATCTGCCTTTTGGCTCAGGCACCGGCCTGAGCCGGAGTTGCTGGCCCGGGCCGGCGCTGTGCGCGGCGGCCGCCGAGCGATGAGCAGCAAGGCGGCCGCCAGCAACACCACAGGCCACGAGGCGAGCGTGAGCGTCCGCAGCAGCAGGAGGCTGGCGGTGGACGCCTCGAGCTCGCTGGCGTCGCCCAGCGACGAGGCGGCGACAGGTGCCTCAGAGGAGAAACCCCGGACCCCCTCGCGTCGTAAACCAAGTCACGGCAGACGGTCTGCCGCACTGGCGACGACGGACGGCCGACGACGCACGAGCGACGGACCCCTAATTCCGACGTCGCGATTTTCTGGCAATGTCGACCCCCAGAGGTCTGGACCCTTTCCCCAGGGCGTTTTTTTTCATCCCAGGTCGTTCTTTTGACGGCCAGGGGTCCCTGCAAGGGCCCCTGTGAGGCCGAGAGTTGTTCAAGACCATCCGCTGTGATTCTTTACCATGAAAGACCCTGATTCCGAATCCGCAGTGCTCTGGGCGATTTCGCAAGTAGTGCGGAAGTGTCCGCCCCTTTTTCAAGCTCCGCCCTACTTTGCCGTGGCTGTTCCCGCCATATCATTGCAGAGATATCCGCCCTATTTTTCTGAGCCGGCCATTTCCGCTCTACTTTTTCGCATCGTTTGGGGCGCATTGCCGACATAGTTCCAAGTCGGAAGATCAACCGAAGTGCGGTGGATCTGGAGTCAGGGATCCCCTCGCGTCGTAACAAGTTTTCCTGGCGAAGGATCCAACAATATGCAGCTGTGAGCACCGCAATTGTGAATATCTTTCTCGGTGGCGATCCCTATGGGGCCACGAACCCTGTCAGGGGTGTGCCGAAATGGGTGACGCCGACGCATGTGGACACCGCCACTCGGGCCTTCGGTGGAGCTCCCTATGGGGCCGCGAAGTGTGTCAGGGGTGCGCCGGAATAGGTGGCGCGGACGCAATTGGGCACCGCCACTGGGGCCTTCGGTGGAGCTCCCTATAGGGCCACGAAACGTGTGAGGGGTGTGCCGACATGGGTGGCGCGGACGCATGTGGGCACTGCCACTGGGGCCTTCGATGGAGCTCCCTATGGGGCCACGAAACGTGTGAGGGGTGTGCCAACATGGGTGGCGCGGACGCATGTGGGCACCGCCACTCGGGCTTCCGATGGAGCTCCCTATGGGGCCACGAACCGTGTGAAGGGTGTACCGAAATGAGTGTCGCGGACGCATGTGGACACCGCCATTGGGGCTTTCGGTGGAGCTCCCTATGGGGCCACGAAGCGTGTGAGGGGTGCGCCGAAATGCGTGGCGCGGACGCATGTGGACACCGCCGTTGGGGCCTTCGGTGGAGCTCCCTTTGGGGCCACGAAATGTGTGAAGGGTGTGCCGAAGTCGGTGGCGCGGACGCATGTGGACACCGCCACTGGGGCCTTCGGTGGAGCTCCCTATGGGGCCACAAATCGTGTGAAGTGTGTGCCGACTTGGGTGGCGCGGACGCATGTGAACACCGCCACTGGGGCCTCAGGTGGAGTTCCCTATGGGGCCACGAAGAGTGTGAGGGATGTGCCGACATGGGTGGCGGGAACGCATGTGGACATCGCCTGGGGGTAGGGGCGAGGAGTAGTGGACGTTGGGCGGTGTTTGTTCATAAAGAGGATCCACCACCACAGCATGGTCGGCAAATGCAGACGGAAGGTGTTTCTCTATGTTTGCTTCCCGGGGGCCCTCGCTGGGCCATGGGACCGTCAAAAACGATTCAGGACAAGAAGCCGGTCCCCAGGAAGGGGTCCAGATATCTGGGAGTTCACTCTGTGAACAGAATGATGCGATCGGGGGTCTGGGAAGGCAAACTCATGCCGACACCCTTTTCCCGTTTTCGCATTATTGTTCCTTTGGGGGGCCCTCGTCGCCACGGCTGGACTCACCATGGGGTACAGGTCAGGATGCGCCCCAGGAGAGGTCCAGAGAGCAGCGGCATTGGTCGGAGTGAGGGGACCGAAAGGTCTTACACCATCCATGGGTGCGTGCCTGAAGTGGTCGTCCGCGTTGAGGATTCTTGTTGTTGAGTTGTGTTTCAACCGAATACTTGTTGTTGATCCCCCCCCTCCTGTGCCCACTTTGTTTTTCAATTGAACTGCTCCTCCTGGGGCTCGCATTTTGTTTGTTCAAGGGAAATTCTTGCGCTTCAGACTGCGCCCGTGGCCCCCGAACTCCAGCAACAACGGCTCCCGCTTGATACTCTTCACAGCTTATTCGAAATCGCGCTCTCGCGCGAGACCTACAATATATCGAAGAATCGCGCTCTTGCGTGGTTTTCCTCCCAAATGATTGAAGCGCCCTCGGCACGCAGGAACCACGCTCTCCCTCTGGACTTCCTCACGATGTACTTTGGAGTCACGCTACTCTATCGCTCGAGATTTCCTCGCGATTCATTGCAGGACTGATGCTTCTGCGACCCACCCGCTCGACCCAGCTGTCGGGGTCCGCCCGCCCGACCCGCTCGTCTGATTCTGCCGCTCGTTTTCCTGTTCTGAACCCAAGGGAGGGAGAATCATAATTGGCGTTTGCTAAACGGCCCTGGGCGTTTACTAAACAATCCTGCCTCGTTTGATTCCTTCTTCGGGTGCGTTTACTAAACGCCTTTGCTTGTCGGGGTGCTATTTTTTATGATGTTAGTTCTGCTCTCTGCTCTCCCTTGTCTTTCTCGTGGTCAATCCTTCTCCCTTCCTCCTGTTCCTGTCCTCCTCCCTCCTCCTGTTTTTAGGGGCCGCGCCAACCACACGTGGCAGGTAAGGAAGATGTACCCCCAAGGGGGGCACGATCGAAGACGAATAATGCGGATACCGAGGGTTTGGGATATACATGCTGAATGACACGCGAGCAGAGAAGAGCGAGCAGTCTAAACCAGATTGTTGCATTTTCACTGCGGAGGAATAACTATTGTTGATCCCCCCTTCGCTGTGCATATTGAGTTTTCCAATTGAATTGCTCCTCCTGGGGTTCGCACCTTGTTTTCTACAATGGAAGTTTTTGAGGCTCAGACTGTGTTGTTGGTCCCTGGGTTACCACAACCGCGGCTCCCGCATGATATATCCAAACAGAAGTTATTCAAAATCGTGTTCTCGTGCGGGACCTCCCAATTTAGCAAGGAGTCTCGATCTCGCCCACGACCAGGTTTGAATGGGATCGTCTCGGGCCGTTGTTGCAGTTGCTGTCGCCGCAACTGTTTATTGTTCAAGTTTCTCGCGGCCCAAGGCTATACCCTATAATCGTGCCCCGCTCAAAGAGGTTACATGGCTGAACGGCAGGCCGTCAGGATGGAACGCCTGCAAGCAGGCCGCCATCCTTACCGCGCGCCATTCAGCCGTCGACCCCTCTTTCCTCCCGCTCTCCCTTCCGACGTAATCTTTTCGTCGGAATCTGCGGGTTGTGGTCGAAAGCTTTCTTTTGCCTCCTGGGTGCCGTTGTGACCCAGGAGCTCGCGCCGCGTTGTGACCGCGTCGCTCTCATACATGACAGATGGCCCACTAGAAAGAGAGATCCCAGTAAAACATACAGCCTCCAACAGGGGTACGATCGAAAACGAAGAGGGCGTGTATCGAGGGCTTTGGAAGCACGCGTTGAATGGCACTCGAGCAGATAAGAGCGAACAGTCTTGAAATGATTGTTGTTGTGTTGCTGCTATTGTTGCTGCTGTTGCTGCTGTTGCTGCTGTTGTTGTTGAACCATCTTTGATCCCCCCGCCCGGTGCACATTCGTATTTTTCCAAATTGAAGTACCCCTCCCGGGGCTCGGACCCTTTTTTTTTATCAGGGGAAGTCTTGAACGTTAACCTGCGCCCACGGCCCCCGAACTACAACAACAACGGCTCCCGCCTGATAATTCCTCACAACGTATTGAGGAATCGCGCTCTCGCGAGAGGACGTCCTCACAATTTATATAATGGGGGGAGACGATTAAAAAAATCGCCCCCTCCCCGGACCCCCCAAAATGATTGAGTGGGGCTGACTAATAGAATTCAGCCGCCGGAAACTGTTTTTTTAATCGTCCGCCCCCCGGCGTTCGCTTTTGCCCCTTTGGGGGAACTGATTCTCTATTCGTCCTCCTTCGCTCGCTTGATCACCCGCGGCGGCCGCGGGGGGACGATTGCGGAGGGGGGACAGGGTAATTAGGGAGTAGTTGAGGGAAGGGGTTTTCGAAGAGGCGCTTGATCACCCTCGTCCTTGCGGACGGCCGCCGGTCGTCCTTGCGGACGGCCGCGGCGATTGGGAGGTGGGGGCAAGGGCAGAAGGAGGAGGAGGAGGAGGAGGAAGAGGAGGAGGGGGGAGGAGGAGGAGGAGAAGAAGGAGGAGGAGAAGGAGCAGGACGAGGAGGAGGACGAGGAGGAGGAGGAGGAAAACGAGGAGGAGGAGGAGGAGGACGAGGAGGAAGAGGAGGAGGAGGAGGAGAAAGAGAAAGAGGAGGATAGGATAACGGCCAGCACGAACCAGCAGGACCGAAGCCGCTGGGCCTCAAGGATCGTTTTGCTCGGGCCTGTGCTGGACCCCATCCTCCTCCTCCTTCTCCTCCTCCTCCTTCTCCTCCTCCTCGTCCTCCACCTCCTTTTCCTCCCTCCTCCTCCTCCTCCTCCTCCTCCTCCTCCTCCTCCTCCTCCTCCTCCTCCTTCCCACCCCGTGCCCCCCCCCCTGACCTTCCAGGCAACCCGGAATTGTCAGCCCCCCGTCTGCCTGCCCTGCCCCCCCGCTATTGCGGGGGCGAGGAGGCCCGCGGAACAATTTTTTTCATCGTCCGCCCCAGAGAGTTTTTTTTGAAAAAAATTGTTCCCCCATTAGGGATTTCGCTCTCGCGTGGGACGTCCTCGCAATGTGTTCAGGCGATGCGCCTTCGGCGTTCCGGAATCACGCTTTCGCTTTGGGCCTTTCTCACGATTTGCTTGGGAATCGCGTTATCGCTCGAGACGTCCTGGCGATTCATGCAGGACCCACGCTTCAGCAGCCCACCTGCTCGACCTGGTCGCCTGGTCCGGCCTTCTCGACCCGCCCGCTATGGGTCTGCCAACCCGATCTGCCCGTCTGGTTCTACCACTTATTTTCTGCTCCGTGCCCCCATCCTGCTAATTTCTCTCGTGCTCCATCCGTGTCCCTCCCCCTTCCACCCATCCTCTCTTCCCCCTGTTTTAGGGGCTGCACTCAAT